CTAAAAGGGGGCCCTGTGTTGACAGAGGGCTCGAGTCAGCCAGAAGCAGTGTTCGAGGGGGCCCGAAAAGCCTGGAGGTATCACCAGGACCGACGACCAAGGGTCCTTTTAAAGTGTTTAAGGGCACGAAGTGCTGGTAGAGTCAAATTAAGGGACTCCAGCCTGCAAGGACGGGCCTTCAAATGACAGTCAGAGGACCCTTTACGCCTGATTGGGGATAGTTCCCGATCGCGGACTCCTGAGTCGATATGGGCCTAGAAGTCCGTCAGGTATCACCAGTGCCGCACAGTCAGCATCTTGTCTCAGTCTCAGTCAGCACCAGTGCCGCACAGTCAGCCTCTTGCCTCAGTCTCAGTCAGCACCAGTGCCGCACAGTCAGTCCCTTTTCTATATGGGCTTGATGGCCCACTTCCCAATCAGCCACAAAGCCGGGGCCAGTGATTTACATTGGTCCTGTATCTGTCAGGGGCCCGCAGTGCCTAACAGAGGGCCCTGTGCTTGCAAGGGCCCCGAGCTGACCAAAGGCAGTGTTCGATGAGGCCCGAAGAGGGGCCCGGACGGCTTAGCGGAACCGATGATCAAGGGCTCGGTTGGAGGGCATAAGGGACTGAAAGGACTGGCTGTATGCCACTTAAAGAATCACGGCCCGTAAGGTCGTGACCTAAAATATCATTTAAAAGTCCTCTTGCACCGTTTGAGGATCCCCTGGGATAATGCGGGTGCCTGTCGGCCAGAGAACACCAACACCGAACAGTTGGCTCCCTGCCAGTCTGGGCCCTGGGGACCCATTTTCCATGCAGGAGCAAGACCGGGGGCCACGACTTGCATTGGTCTGGGTCCCTGAAAAGGATGGTTGGGGCCCCTGTGTCGGTCAGGGCACATAGCGCCAAACAGAGGGTCATGTGTCGGCTAGTGGCCCCAAGTCGGTCACAGGCTTTGTTTGAAGAGGCCCGAAGAGGGACGAAGGGCCCATCGGGACCAAAGATCGAGAGCCCGATTGGAAGGCTGAATGGACCTAAGGGCTGGCTGTAGGTATACTCCACCCATAGGGCCGTGATCTCAAATGTCAGGTTGAAGGTCCGATTAGGGACGCTTGAGACAGGACGTTTCGCTATTTCGGCCAGACATCACCAACATCGAACAATAAGCTCATAAGGTTAAGAACAATAAGCTCATGTCATTCAAGTGTAACTTCATTACACCGCCTGGCGTGCGGGGGAGTCCATGATGGACTATGTCAAGCAGCCGCACTACCATTTGTATCAACGCAGATTACAGCTGTGAGTGCCACCAGGACACTTGGCCACGCGCCGTCGAGCGTGATATTTTGATAAACCAACGTTCCGAAAGATCGCTTCGTATATTGCACATCCGCGCCGACAGTGTCGATATGTATGAAAGTACATTGGGCAGACTAGGACCATCACCAGACGAAACCAGAGCAATGCGACTGAGACAAAAGAGCGTGGACACTCATAACTTTTTGTAAAAGAGAAGTTTTTTTTAGCCGGCGGTGAAAAGTTACGCGCGTTTGCGGTTTTGACATATCGATGTCCTCCTTGGTCTGGTGACGCAACGCATTCTGGTAAAATGTGACGTTACCGTGACGTGTTACACGTGGCAAATGCAAACGTGGCCCACTAGCTTAAGATGGAGGACACATAATTCGCTAAGTAACAAAAATTGTTAGCTGGAAGTTAATACCGAGCTTCTTTAATTGTTGCAGGTAGTCTCAGTGGAGCCAAACTAGCATATTTATATTCTGCAAGTAACTGTTGATCGCACTGGTGAAAGCGCATGCCAATGCGAGCGCACGTGTCATCGGCAAACACCACCCGCGCTTGCTGACGTGATGGCGTGCTGCTCCATGTTGACAAGTTCTTCCTATCAACTCTTATTCCAGCGCTATTGCACATCATCAACAGCATTTTTGCTTCTGCAATAACACCACGCAAGTGAGTGATATCAGTTGTTGGGTCAATTATTAGATGTAACCACACTGGAAATCTTTAAACCAATCTCACTTATCATCAGAAGTGCATCACCCAGGCAGGACCGTTTTGACGACCGACTCATCATCGCAGTGCATGAGGTGCAATAATCTGCGTTTTATCTTTTAAACGACTGTGCAGAAACGTTCAAGGACCGCTTTGGTCTTTGGTTCTTCGGATAAAGTCAGAAGGACCTTAATTTACTGCCAAAAGCCTGGATGCGTCTGCTCGCACTAGCAATTCCATCACTCATAGCGCTTTGCCTGGTAGAATAGACGGGATTGATCGAATTAACGCATGTCCACAAGTCCGAGATCAAAAGGATTGCTATTTTCCATGTCACATTATCCGGAGATAGCACCAGCTGCATATGTTACAATGAATTTCTACGCACTGTTGCCTAAGATAATCTTACGCACTTTTAACGTACCGTATTTCACTTTCCATGGTCGCTGAATTTGTGGCAATCGCCATTCCTGAGCAATACATTCTCAGCACATTTTCTATGATGTCGTAGTTTATACTCACCCATCATAGTCCAAACAAAACCCTGCGTTCGTCATAAGCCGTCAGTTTACTGCATCGATTAGCTGTCTAACCGGAACCACCCTCAGGATCAATCATCAAGCTCCATTTTGTAATTTAGCTGCCAAGTTTAACTCATGCTACTACATAATGGCGCGGACAGTGGGTATAGGGGCACACCCCTGCCCAAATCGCGCTCGACGAGTAGGGGCCCGATTTAAGAGCTTGAAGGGCCTGAAAGGCCGACTGGAGGTCATATTCAGGGGCCCCCCAGCCCGCATGGCCGGACATAGCAATGTCAGCCACAGAGCCCTTTGCGCCGATCGGGGGCTCTTAATTCAATAAGGGTGTATATGTCGGTCCGACGTCATCTGTACCGCGTAGTTTGGTCCGTGTTGGCATGAGCCTGAGGGCCCACTTCCCAAGCAGCGACAAAGCGGGCTCCAGCGATTTACACTGGTTGAGGCCTCCGTATCTGTCAGGGACTCACAGTGCAAAACGGAGGGTCCGGTGTTAGCAAGGGTCGATCGAGGGCAGTGCTCAATAAGGCCCGAAGAGAGGCCCGGGGCCCACCAAAACCGACGATCAAAAGCCAGATTAAAGAGTGCAAGGACTCAAAAGGCTGGATGTAGCTCACATAAAGGATCCCAGCCCGTAGGCCGTCGCCTGAAATATCAGTCAGAGGGCCTCTTGCACTGACTGAGAGCCGCTGAGGCCGTGCAGGCGTCTATGTCGGTCAGGGACCACCAACACCGAACACTCGGCTCTGTGTTGGTCCGAACGCTAGGGTCCCATTTCCCAAGCAGGAGCAAGACTGGGGCCCACGATTTGCCTTCCTCTTTGTTTCAAGGTCTGGGTTCTTGAAACAATGATCGGGGCCCCTGTGTCGGTCAGAGGCCTATAGTGCCTAACATGGCGTCATGTGTCGGCAAGTGGCCCCGAGTCCGTCACTGGCTTTGTTAGGGGGAAACTCGAAGAGGAGCTCGAATAGGTTCATCTCGTGTGATCTCGTGTGACTCGCGTCTCGTCTCGTCATTGAATGATCTCGCGGTAGCTTTCGACTTCTGTTCCAGTTATAGACGGCAAAAGCCACAACATAACAAAGAAAACCGTGCCCCTCATTAACAAGTGAACAATATCCTGCAATTTGGGGGGGGGGGGGACTTTCGCCGTCGTGGGGTCCTTTTTCAACCGTGCGGCCTTCTGTGCTGGCTCTGGCTACGGATATGTTGTCATGTCTTTTCCGAAATAATGTCACTCTCAGCATCCACCATGATCGAGAGAAATTTAACGCGCCCTATGCGTGCACATGTGCATCACTCTCCATTTGCAAGGGCTGCGCAAAGGCCCGCTCAGTTTTCCCATGCAGAATAGGAAAGAAGAATCTACGAATTTAATGGCCTAAATCCGATGTTTTTGTCTTGGGAGGGGGGGGGGGGGGGGCACAAACTCCTCAGAGACCCATAGTGTTGCGTGGTTACCCATTAGACGAAGTCCTGGATCCGCCACTGACAGCCACTACCAACGTCTCGGGCAAAGCCGAACAGCCTGGTGTTACCATTCGGATGCTTAGGTCTGCTTGCATGGACCTGATCGCCAATGTCCATTGTTATATCACTTCCGCACAAATTCTATAAATGCGCTCTCTCTCTCTCTCTTCTCTCTCTCTCTCTCTCTCTCTCCTCTCTCTCTCTCCTCTCTCTCTCTCTCTCTCTCTCTCTCTCTCTCTCTCTCTCTCTCTCTCTCTCTCTCTCTCTCTCTCTCTCTCTCTCTCCTCTCTCTCTCTCTCTCTCTCTCTCTCTCTCTCTCTCTCTCTCTCTCTCTCTCTCTCTCTCTCTCTCTCTCTCTCTCTTTCCCCATACACATATACACACTTTTCTGTGTATATGTGTATGGGCAATGATTCGATGATTTGGGAATGATGTCATAGTGGGCCTCATGCGCGTAGGTCCAGTGACTAGGTCTCCTGGGCATAGGTCTCGTAAACATAGGTCTCCTGGGCGTAGGCCATGTGGGTGTAGGTCTCCTGGGCGTAGGTCCAGTGAGCGTAGGCCTACTGAGCGTAAGTCTCGTGAGAGTATGTCCAATGGACGTAGGCCTCCTGGGTGTAGGCCTCGTGGGCCTAGGTCTCGTGGGCCTAGGTCTTGTGAGAGTAGGTCTCCTGGGTGTAGATCCAGTGAGCGTAGGTCTCCTGGGTGTAGGCCTCGTGAGCGTAGGTCCGGTTGACACAGGCCTCCTGGGTGTAGGTCTCGTGAGAGTATGTCCAATGGACGTAGGCCTCCTGGGTGTAGGCCTGGGGAGCACAGGTTTCCTGGACGCAGGTCTCCTGACGCGCCACCGAAATGCTGTCAAATCCAAGACCCCAGCGCAACTCTTCGACCTGCTCGCTGTGGCCTGAACAAAACTAGAGACATTTCAAAAACCGCAAGGTGCCACCAAATCCCCGCATAATTCTCTAGACAAAAAGTCCAGCGACTTGGAAACAAACATACGCTATCGGGGCTAGTCGCGCGCCGCTATTGTGGAGGGAGAATGTGCGACTTATCTGGTAATTTGATTATCGAAAGGCATTTGTGGAGGGTAAAAATCGTTTTCGGTTGCACCCTTCGGTGATAGTCAGTTATTATTATAGTTCTTTTGTGCCGTCACTTTTGGAGGGATTGTACTTTTGTAGGCTAGTGGATCGCTGCTTTCATTTGTTTTTTTTGTTCAGGTAGCGTTTATTTCATAAAGTGTGCGAAAGCCCCTTTCCATTACATTAGCCATAGCTGCTTTATTGATGTCACATTGTGTTCAGGTGTGGATGAGGCAGTGTTTAAAGGGCGCTGGGCAGATTGGTATTTACAGGTGTTCGAGGTGCTGCTGAGTGTTAAGTCCAACCTGTGCAATTCCTTTTCTTAACTCTGTTGGGGAGAGAAATAGAGATTGTGGTGTTTGGTATTATTTAAAGATTTTGATGTGCAGCATAACTTCTGCTTTGGGCTTGTGAATAATCCATACCTGGGTCATTGCTCTGAGATTAGAATGCCAGCACCATGCCAGTCTACAAAATAATACTCTAGGAGTGTCAAGTTCTCATGAGCATCATCCCAACAGCAATTACAGTGCATCCATGCCAGTTGTCTACAAAATATCTGACTTCTGCGCCAGACATTCATGTGATGTCGCATTGAACCTCATGTGCAAAATGGAGGCGAGGGCAAATTCCGTTGTTTTTAAACCAAAATGTTTTGAAGTATTTGTGCCTGAAACTAAGATAATGATAACTTGAAATGTTGGTTATATGTGCTGAATTTGGTAGCGAGCATGTGTTGAGTTCTAGGTGCTCAAGTTTACTTCATACATGCTTTGTAGGTTATAGACATTTGTAGTTCATAGACATATAGACGTCGCTGCAACACGGTATGATCAGAGTGGTATGTATTTGTTACAGTCTCATATGCATACTGTAAGGCAGAGCATTCTGAATGTGAATGTGGTACCAGTGTGGGGAGTTGTAGAGCTGAGTGTCACTTTCTTGAATTGATTCAGAGTCTGAACCATTAAGATTGTCATAACCCTTAATTCCTCCTCAGATGTTGTCCATTTGTAATTTGTGCTTGTTCCCCAATGTTACAATTTAGATGTTTTGTTGATGTCAAAATTGTTGGTGCATAGAGGATGAGAAGTGAATTAATATTGTAATGTGAGGTAAAACTGCATTGCGGAATGCTTAGGATTGGATGTAGTGCACTAAGGGATCTAAATAGTTTAAGCCCTTGTGGTTAACAAAAAAGTTGTGGTATATTTTGTATATTCATTGTTTTAAATGATAATTTTTTGTTTATTAAAATGTTTATTTTTTATTAATGATGACCTGAGACACAAAAGAAGGAATTTAGGCAGAATGGTATGTCTTTGCATGTCTGGATAAGAGTCTGGATTTGTTAAGTACATTGCCACAATTTATGTTATCATAAAGAAAAGTGACACAGAACTTGTATGACCCTCTCAGTGGATATTTCAGTAGCTGGGAGGATAGTGGGTACAAACCAGTAACTCAATGGGTCTCCAGAGAGGCCATCTTAAAGAAAAGCATGTCATGCTGAAAGTTGATGTAAGGAAAAATGGCAAGGCAGTTCTGTTGGCCTTGTTGCTCATATAATAGCCAGGAGAAAGGAGAAATAGATGCATTGATATTTTGGCTACATACATTTTTCCAAATGAATATTTGTGGCAAGTTAAGAATTGTGAGCCTCACTCAATTCTTAGTGGGATTGGCAACCAATTTTGAATTCACTGCAGGTATTTGTTGTGATAAAGGCATGTAGTCAAACTAACAATGTGTCTATGTATCCTTTCCCTTGCTGGTTATTCTACCAGGAATAAGGCTAACAGTACTGTCTTACCTATATGCATAATGCTTCCCACAAATGCTCCTGGGAACTCACACAAGCAAAAAAAAGGCTCCCTATCTTGGTGTTTCAGGGTGATGGGTTGGGAGTTGGTTTTAAGTGGCATCTGAAAAACATTGGTCATGTTGAGGAAACTTGGGGTAAGGCCCTGGCTCTTCCCAATTATCTGCCCTCTGCTGAAGGCCTCTGTTTTGCTGCAGACACCATGAACAGCCAGAAGTTCTGCCTCAAGTGGGACGGCTTCCAGGGCAGCGTGACATCGCTGTTCAACAGCCTGCGGCAGAAGGGCGAGCTGGTGGACATCACGCTCTGCTGTGAGGGCGAGCAGCTCCGCGCCCACCGCATGATGCTCTCCGCCTGCAGCCCCTACTTCCGCGAACTGCTCAAGGTGCGATCACGCGCTGCCAGCGAGCGCCTCCACTCCCAGCTTGGTGGGGCATTCATCCCAAGTCGTGGCCGCCTTCGTGCTGGGTTGTGTCTCTGCCATTGCCCCATGGTAGCGTGCCTTGACGTGGAGGTCCTGAGGCAGGGGTGTAGTCTCCTGTCCAGTTGGGGCTGGGGGCTTCATTCGGTGATTCCAGGATGGGACTTCACGTACGTCAGCTGCTCTATTTGGTTGGAAGGATGTACTGCTGCCTGCAGGCCCAGTCGGACACTTCTGAGATTCGTTCAGCGTCGCCAGCATGCCACTGTGCGGCGTTACGGACGTCTGCTTGTGAGCGCCTCGGTTGTGATGCTCAGGACTGGGATGTAACTTGTATGGAAAAAGTACTATGTTCGCTCACGCTCGGCGAAGCGATTGCTTCGGCCGTTTGTGGCAATGCTCTGCCACGGAGGCAGCCATAAGAGCGTTGCCCTGTGTTCCAGGGTCTGCCATGTCAGCAGATGGTGATCTTCCTGAAGGACACGTCGGCCGCCGACCTGCGGGCCGTCATCGAGTTCATGTACAAGGGCAGCGTGAACGTGGCCCAGAGCCAGCTGGCCAGCTTCATCAAGACGGCCGAGATGCTGCAGATCAGGGGCCTCAGCGGAGAGGACGACAAGGTGGGACTGGTGCTCCTCCGCCGCGTGGCTCGCTTCCGAAGTGTACGCCCCGTGCGGTCCAACGGGACATCACCGTCACCCGCACCCCTCCAGCAGCTCCAGTGAACGGTGACGTGGTCTGTCTCACGTGCTGATTCAGTGAGGGGCGGGAGCTCAGTGGGTACGCGATCCGGATGCTGTGCCCTTCCGTACTGACGCCCCATCTCATGCATCTGGTGAAATGTCCATCTGTTTGCGGAGTGAACTGTGCTGTGCCTGGGCGTCTGTGCGCAGGCTGGTCCTTCTGTGCACTGGTGTTAGCTACATTTCCACATCTGTATGCAAGGATGAGCCCCCTCCATGTGACCTTTGTCCCGCTTTGACACCGTCGTGTCGGTATGTGAGTCGAAGCAAAGCTCGCCGTTTTTCTGCAGGCTGAGTTAGTTCCCTTTCGTTGTCATGTTGATGCCAGCCTGCGCGGTATTCAGGCGTTCGTGTGCTGCTCTGGGCGGTCAGTGCTCACATGCGTCAGCTGGCCAGGGCCACTCGGTGGCCGGCGCTGAGCGGCGCCTCTGTCTCCGGCAGCCACCGACGCCCGCCGAGCCGGCGGCCAGCCGCTCGCCGCCGGCCAAGCGGCGGCGACACTCGGGCGCGGACGGCGCGCCGGCGCCGGCGCGCTCCCCGGGCCCGCGCGGCCCCGACACGCCCGGCCTGTCCGGCTCCTCGGACCATTCGGCGGCGCCGTCCCCGCCGCCGGCGCCGGCCGTGCAGGCGCCGCTGTCGGCCCCGCGCCCGCCGCCGCCGCCGCTGCCGCCTCCGCTCCCGCTGCCGCCGCCGCCGCCGGCGGACGGCGCCGTCAAGGTGGAGAAGGTGGATGACGGGGAGGGCGCCGGCGCCGACGAGATCGCGCTGGATGGCGACGGCTCGCTGGACGACACGCTCGGCTACGTGGCTGAGTTCGAGAGCTTCGGCACCGCCGACCCGCTGCCCGGCCTGCCGGGTGTCGCGCCCACCAGCGCCGCCTGTGAGTTATGGACAACTGCTGGCGAAGACTGAGGCGCTGGTGACAGCTGACTGCTACTGACACGGCCGTGTGGACCTGCTGCTCATTTCCCATTGTTTGGGTGGTGTTGCTCACTTCCAGTGGGCTTGTTTTGTCAGAATGCTGTGCCTCAAAGAAAATACTAGTACAGCTGCTGTTGTTAGATCGTCAATGCCGCGCCATGTGCAAGGAGCCTAGCGAGAATTCCCCTGGTATTTGCGTCGGGACTTGGGGTCCAGAAGCGTACAGGTGTCCTGATGCGTCAGGCCGTCATGCGCTGAAGCCTCGAGCGCGTGTGTGCGTGCCCTTTTGCGACATAGCGAAGGCCTCGCGCACCCTGCGTCCCAGCGGCTTGGCTCTGTGTAACCTGGTCCGCGACCGTCCTGTGGCCCGCGGCGCCCGCTGACCCGCCCCCGTGTCGTTCCAGTGCTGCCCCCGCCAGGGCCTTCGCAGCGGCTGATGGACGACGGCAGCTCGCAAGGTAGGCTCCTCGCACCGCTCTTGTTTGTCGGTGCTCCGCGCCGCTGCTGGTGATGGTGTGGCGTGGCGTGGCGTGGCGTGGCGTGGTAGCGCCAGCCGACGGGGCGGAGACGGCAGGCGAGCTCGGGGCTGCTCGAGCCGGGTGATCTGGACCTCGCGAGGGGCGGGGGCGATCGGCCGCCGGGGAGATGGCGCGCGGAGCCGGCCTCGGTCAAAGGTCAGGGCCTCTTTCAGGGTGAGCAGGCTTCACCTCCCGGCCGGCTCGGTCGTGTGAGGCCTGCCGCTCCGGTGCCGGGAGGCCAGTGGGCCGTGTTGCGACCTCCGAGACCAACAGATGAGCTCCGCTGGGACTGGAAGGCGGCGACTGGCTCTAGCAGCTGCAATGATGAAAAATCCCCCTGGGGCTATATCGTCGTTCGGGTCGAGCATATTTCTACGCACGCACCAAACGTGAGCGCAATCGAAGATTTTGCGCTTTTGCGCGCATCAACCAGTTCACTTTATTGCTCGGTGTTTCGGCGCCGCGTTCAGCGACACGACAAACATAACACACTGCACAGGTCTGATATGACGGGCTGTTTCTGAGCTGCTGCCTGCAGTGCCATGGCTGAGGTCGCCTTAGTTGCTGAAGGCGAAGGCTGATAGCGAGTACCACCAGACAGACTGCTAGGCGCAACTCTCCGCGCGGCTGGCTTCGCTGGGCCCAGTTTTCATCGATGTGTAGCGAGGCTACACTCGTGTGCGCAGTTGTCTGCCGAACGCGCCCATAAAGAGTTGCTCATCTCGTCGTGAGCGTGCGGCGCTCGCCGTGGCCGCCGCCGTCGGCCGGCCGTCCGGCACCGCTCGATCTCCCGCGATCCGCGTGAGATGAACTCCAGTCTGTCCACCCGAGCCCGGTGGTGCTGTTCGCCGCGGGAGGTAGGGCGTCCTCCCGGGAGACTCGTGCGTCACAGACGGACGGTCAGTTTTGCGAGGTCCGTCGGAAGTCGCGTCACTTTCGGTAGCCCGGACGCCGGTGCAAGCTCGTTTGTTGTTTTGCGGTGGTGCTGGCGTCTGGAGGGCTTCGCAGTTTTGGAACTCTAATGTGACGGTAAGTTTGAAAACGCATGGTTTCTGAACTACAAATTTAGGGGCCATTGAAGATTGACATTGTTGCGTGACGGAAGAAAATATAGCACGGTCGTTCTGATGGGAGACGTGAAAGCGCATAGTCCAAGGGCCTATGAGCCCGTGCCCTTTTGGGAAAGCTTGCCGGCAGTTATGCCGCAGGGGCGTACATCTCGTGCAGTGTTGTGTCGGATGTCTGCTGTAGTGCGTAATCGCCCGACAGTGTGTGGCGGAGTGTGTGACAGCCGCCCGCGGTGCCTGTGAACGTCATGATCCAGCCATACCTCGGACGTGAGGAAGAGCTGGGCCAGCGCGCGCCGCCAGTGCACCGGCGCCGGCCGTCTATGGACTGGCGCGTATCGGCCGGACGGCTGTGGGAGCGGGCGCCGCTGCGCCGGCGGGGCCAGCTCGGCGTCAGGGCCGGCCCAAACACTGCGAGAACACGCCGGGCGCCGCCGCCCGTCCGGGCGCGTGGCGAGCTGCCGACAGAGCGCCGCCAGGCGACGTCAAGCGCGGTCGTCGCGAGCGAGTGGCGCCGTCTGACTGACTGAGAGCGATAGGGAGGGCGCCGGCGCGCGCCGGCCGGGCCGGCAGGCGGCCGGCCGAGCAGACTGAGCCAGCCTCCCGCTGAGCCGCCCGTGTCTGTGTCTGCCGCAGGCTGCGTGCCGGCCGAGACGTGCGCCGTCTGTGGCGCGCGCTACCACCACCGGCGCAACCTGGCCGAACACATGAAGCGGCACCTGGGCCGCACCACCTGCCTCATCTGCCGCCAGGAGTTCGCCATGACGTTCACCCTGCGCCGGCACATGGTCAACCGACACGGCCTGGCCGCCGAGGAGGTGGGCCGACTCACCAACAAGCGGCGCAGCGGGCCCCCGGCCGCCGGCGAGCGGCGAGACAGCGCCGCGTGACCGAGCGGCGGGCCGTGTGACGGAGCGGGGGGCCGTGTGACAGCGGCGGGCCGTGTGACAGAGCGGCGAACCGTGTGACAGATCGGCGGACCGTGTGACAGAGCGGGGGGGCCGTGTGACGGAGCGGGGGGGGGGCGTGTGACAGATCGGCGGACCGTGTGACGGAGCGGGGGCCGTGTGACGGAGCGGCGGGCCGTGTAACGGAGCGGCGAACCGTGTGGTGGGCCGTGTGACGAAGCGATGGGCCATTTGATGGATCGGTGGGCCGTGTGACGGAGAGGCGGACCGTGTGGCGGGCCGTGTGACGGAGCGGTGGCGCCGTAACGTGTGACGATAAGGGCGCAGTGCTGCGTTGCAGTGGTACGTAGTGGCGTAATGGTCGCCTGGGACGGAGCAGTCGGCCGGGTCACCGGTCTGCGGGGCGGTCCGGCGGCGCGTGCGGCCTTCGGGGCTCGCGCAGCCCAGAGCCGGCAGACGGCAGCGCTGATGACCACAGCAGCCGGCCGCGCCGCCGGAGTCGCGCCGGGGCAACACCTGCTCGTGAACGGGCTTACCCCCGGCGGTACGCTCGGACGGCCCGGAGGACCCGCCGGAGACGGTCTGGAGTTCGTTGCCAGGGAGTCGTGCGCCGCTGATGTTGGTGCCAGTGAGCCGGCGCGCGCAGGCTCTGGTGGACGCGCCGCTGTGGTCTCGTGGCTCAGGTGACGCCCCGAACGGCAGCGGCGGCTCGCCCGAGGCCGGTCTGGCGATGTCTCTCGGCCGACCCTTCAGCGTCTGTCTGTGTACAGGGAGCTCTTCCCGTACCGATGTTCTGTTTTCCTTCGCAGGCTGTGATTTAGGTTGGCTGGATAGGGCGGCTGGTTCAATGGGCTTTGTGTACGCCGAGTTCTTGTGTCTTGCGGTCGCTTTTATATTTATTATGCGGTCTAGCTTTACGTGTTTGTTGTGTGTTTGGCGAGAAACGTGCTGAACGATGTCCGACCTGTGCGCACACCCGCTGGCCGGCGGTCGTTCTGTTTGTGTTTGGCGTAGCTTTACGCATTTCTAGGCAGCATGGTAGCAGTCTCACTGGCCGTTGTCAAAAGGCGAATGTTACCAAATGGAGTTCAGCCCTGGTCGCTGGCGCAATGCAGTGATCTCAGAGCTGCGCGTCGACTGTGCGCAGTATGGAGCTTGAGTTCTTGGGGCGGTGTTAGCGTGGGACGCGAGCCAAAAAGGTGGGGGGGGGGGGGGGGGGGGTCCACTCGATAGTGCTGTTGCGATGGCTGCCATTTCCGTACTGGGGGTGCGCTCCGAGGGTTGCCAGGTGCCGAACGGCCCGTGTCGCCAGGTTCGCGCAGAAAATCTCCAGTTATGTCGCCAGGCTGAAAGACAACCGTAACTTTCACGTTTTTGACCCCTTTCTCGGCGAACTTGTGTAGATTATGTGAGCATTTCTACTTTTGCAGACGCTGAAAGCTTGGAGGAAATGTTCCACGTTTGAAGACATTGAAAGAAACATCAGATATGATGAAATTAGCTCACTTATAAGTATACTCTTGAGTGGAAAGTCCCGCTTTAGACAACAGTATTTCTTAATTTTGTAAATATGCTCAACAATACGTCAGTTTATTTGCGTCATGGGACGCTTGCATAACGATACTCACCTGTAGTTCCTCAGCCTCCCGAAAGGTGGCCTTCGGCGGTGCTGGATGCGTGCCTAACTAAATATCGTTAGGTGCCCGTGTGTTCGGCCTTTTCTGGTGGAATTCTTGCATATTAGAGAAGGTACTTACCAGCTAGTAATGCTAGTAAGGTACTGACTAGCATTCACGTACTACGGTATAGCGTTATTCTGATCACGCAGTCGAAGCGCCCGAAAACCCCAGATTACTTCTGAGGTATTTGATTACCACCTTATCTCTGTAATAAGTACGAAGAATATATAACTTCTTGTATTATGTAGGACAAAACCTTTTCGGGATAGAATCGTGCATAGCTCGCACAACGTTGGTTGAGAGCCCAGTGGATGGCCGTTCTATCTGGAAACTGCTCACAAACGCTGGATATGAACGACTCGACAATTCTATTTTTCTTGGCCTTATAGGCCGCGTGGCTAGTGGAGTGGCAGGATTTGAATGGCGTTATTACATGGATGCCTGGATAACCTTGAAATGGTCCGCACATTTTCGCGGGCGTGTATCTCAAATTGGAGGGTTTTGGGCCAGGGACAGGACTGTAAATGGAATTATCTTCAAGATAGCTCTTTCATCTCAAAACCCCATACGAATGTGGGGCACTCCCTTTAAAGAGTGGTTTGGCTGTATATGGCGGCATTCGTGCGGTGTGAACGTCAGTGGCAGAAGCCGCTCTGGCAGCCGGCGGCCGCCTAAACTGACCGTATCGAGGATTTGTGACCAGTGGCAGCGGGGTCGAATCCCCGGGACCGCGAACTGAAGGCCCGACCTCTGTGTGGCGGCCAGCCGGCCGGGGTTGGCCTGGTCAACTGGCACCTGACCAGAGCGGGTCGTCCTGGTGCGAGGCGGCCGTGTCCGTACCATTGCACGGCATGACACACGATTCCCCTACGGCCTAGGCGGATGCCAAGGCCGCAGACAGAGGCCTGCGACGAGGTGGTATTGCACTGCTGGGAAACGCGCTCTGGGTACGGGGGAGAGCTGTGGCATGAATCCTTTAGCCGTTAAATCGCTGATCAAGTAGTTTAATTTTCGTTAGCGGATGCGTGTGTTCGTTGAGGTCGAAAACAGTTAGCAAAATTGTGGACTTCCTTTAAGTAGCCGCTTCTCAGCTTTGAGCCCCTTAGTTTTTTTTTTTTGCAAATTTTCCATTGAATTTGCAGCGCTGACTCTCGCATAAGTGGTGCACGCGATTTCTTAAAGCGAATATTTCACAATGATACAGGGTTGTGAACTGAAATAGCCATTTTGAAGACGTTTAGGTTCTGTCCACAATCCTGCCCTTCTTAAGACCTAACCTAGTTCTA